ACTGCTTTCATGTTGTCCTGAACGTGACCTGATGTATTTCAAATATGTTTTTCATAAAAGCCGCATAAGCCGACACGTACTAAACATGCAACAACAGCAACAACAACATTGACAGACCCAAACATGCACATTTTGTATCTGACAGATACAAAAGGGAAAAACCGCAGGCGCATTTAACCCGCTGATAAGACAAAGCGTTAGAAAACCAAACAACTACAATTACAGCAAGTAAGTGTCGAGAGTGCCAGACTGGCAGATACCCAGCGTCAAGCTGCCTTAACACAATTTCGAGGCCACAAAAACAAATATACCCTCTCAATGACATACTCACTAAGCTTCTTCTTCTCATAGCCCACTTTGGCTAATGCAATCTTTCATAACTCGGGTATTTACAGTCCGATCTTAATGAAATCAGCAGGGATTTAATATGGCAGTTAATGGTGCTTTTATACCAAAGCGCATCTCTATAACTCAAAAAGCTCAATTCCTTCTTCATTTTTTTCCCTTTTATCTTTCCTTTCTTAAAGGTTGAATATTCTGTTTCTGTTTAGACTAAAAGAGAGCCTACATACCAAGTTTTGTGTTTCTTACAACTTGCGCGATATGCTCTTCTTCTACCTGTTACACTTGCACCATAACCATAATACCCCCTTTTCGTGGGCACGGGGTATAACAACTTGGCAAGTAGCAAAGTTCGCGTGCATGTAATTTGTTGCCGTGTGTTGTTGTTGTTGCCGTTGCCATGTTAACATGCAGCAAATGTGTAAAATGCCAAAAGGAGCCAGTCCCATGGTGCGCTGTGCCCCCCTTTGGCCAGTCACAGCCTGCCCCAACCTGCCTCCAGCCTGTCCTCTAGCCGTTTATCACAGTCGTCTTATCAGCTGGCACATTTGTCTTGGCTGGGCACGTTTGGCGTGACGGCCTGCCAGCCGAGTGCGAAAAGGTGCAAAAGACTCCAAAGGCCAGCACTGGCAACGGCAACAGCAATGGCAACAGGTGGCTCTACGCAGGTATTTGCCTCATTATCGCAACTCAAGTGCATAATTTCTCACAGAGCTGCCCGCTTTGGCATTCTCAATCCATTTTATTGACATGTTTACGCAGCTCTCAATGCAAAAATAAAATGAAAACCAAATTGATAACTTAATTATGGTAGCAAAAGGTCTTAAATGACCATGGGCGGGGCCAAGAGGGTACCAGCTACTGCGCACTAGATTGCCCCAAAGCGAACCAGTGTTAGATAACAGCACGGGGTGCAACTGTACGCAGCGTGTAGAGCTGCCAGCCAATTGCAATAAGATAAAAGCAAAATAACTGAAGCTAAGCGAAAGTTTTTGGTTTTCTTTAAGCATTAAAATGACTTTCACAAGGCATTTAAATTTATTTGCTATGATTCCTAACCCTTAACAATAGAGAGTCATATTTGAATGTGGCAACACTTGGCCAGAGTTCAGTATGTTAAAGATCTGTGAAGCCATAGTTCAGCACACTTTAAACAGGTCTAATGGCTTAAGCACTTGGCTTGTTTTATTTCTTGTTTGTAACGATCATATTTTCCATTAACTTGAAGCCGATCCATTGCAGCACTTGAACAATTTTTTGCAATTATAGTAGTTCACTTCGAGTTAATTTACACGAACTTCAACTACAGCAATTACTTGAGAATGAATTTTTTTTTGTATTTCTGCTCTATAATTGTGGAGCTAATAAAATGGGGTGCTGAAAGAATAATTTAATAGCTGATCTTACAAAATATTGATATGGTGTCATATATTTATATCAATCGATCAATATATTTGTGCCTATATGCTGCAGGCATGACATTTTCTTTCAACGCCGCGCGTTCAATCAATTTCAATTTCGTGAGTTTGACAAAGCTATGTACATGTTTTTTTCTTGTGGTTTTTCTTAATTTTCCAAATTGAAAACGCTGACGCCGCACGCGCACATTAATTCTAATCAATTTCCAGGCGCTTGGCACTAAAAAATAAGTGCCCAATAAGTGAGAGAAGGAGAAGCAGGCAGGCAGATCCCTTGCCAGGCAGCGAGTCAAATTGTGCCCTGAAACCATGGGACGCCACTTAATCAAACTGGGGGAAGCTGAGAGAACAAGAAGAAGAGGGATGAGAGTCCCACAGGAGAAATAAAGTCTGTCTGCATATCTGTCTAACGAGCGGCGCGATAAACTCTTGACAGGACTTTCACTGGCTGCGCCGGGAAAGACCTCCTCAGACAGGCTCGTAATTAATATTAAGTAGACATATTTTATATACCCTAGCAGAGGGTATTCAACTATTGTCACGTTATATGTTACAAATTATTAAATTTGGCATTTCAGGAGTTTACCATGGTATTTACATATGCTTACAACTTCTGAGCAACATCTGACTTCTATATTATATAACTCTGCAGCTATAATTATAAAAAAAACAAAAACTTAATAAATATAAAATTATTTCATATTTCTTAATTTATCCTGCACAAAAAACTGCAACTACGTGCTCCTAAAATATCTGCAGTCTACTATATTAAAAGGAGTTCTTGGGAAACGATTGTCAAAAAAAGGGTATTCGATTTGCCGCTACTTCTACTACTACTTCTACTTCTTCTACGATACTTCTGCTACTTGGCAGCGGGTTTTCGATTACAATTTATGTGCCGGCATATAAGGCTCGATTAGATTTGCTCAGACCAAAAAATTTGTGCCGGCGATAAGTTAGCCGCGAGGCCTTGGGCCTTATCAGCGTACGGGTCACGCCTAAACGCTGCCATTCAATTTTGGGCCGATAAGACGCTCGTCTGATAAAGGGCCGAAGTCAGGGCCGAATGGGCGACTTCTGGACGGGCCACGTGAGTGGTCCCCGTGTGCACATGGATTGTGGCAGGATTTATGGCCTTGCCGCTTATTTATAGCTTCTCACTTGCCGCCAGCAATTGACTTTCAATCAGTTCAAATTAGCTGGAAATCAACATGCACTGAGAGAGAGAGAGGGAAAATGCGCACAACTATTAATAACTGATTTTATTCGCTGGCCAGTGCCATTAATTGCGTGCACCCAGATGGACAGCTGTGGCACGTCCAGACCTGGAACTGGCTGCAACAATTAATTTGCCAGCAGTCAGCGCGCCATGCTAATAGACCCTTTGGCCTGCGTCTCTCGTCCTGGACACGTCTGTGGCGTCTGTGTGGAACTGCGAAACGGAAAGAGCCATCTTCAATGTTTTCCGCTGTTTGCATTTTGAAATCTAAGCTGGTTGCCCCTGCCCCTGCCTCTGCCCCTTCACGCTGCACAGTCTGGCTATCTATCTGGCCAGAGCCTTGGCCAACCGGCTTGGGCTTGGGAGCGTCAATTACTTTTCGCATTTTGCGCATTTGGAGCACATTTATTTTAATCTCACCTGGCCGCAGCGTTGCGTCTGCTCGCTGCAGCTGCAGTCTATCAATCCCCCCGTCGCGCCTCCTCATCCCCTCTCGCAACGCCCCTGGCCAACTTTAATTATGGTGTACTTAGTGTCAGCGGCTGTTAGGCCAAAACAAGTATTGCCATAGTGGGCCAGCCCATTGGGCCAGCCCCCTCGCCTGGTCAGCTCTCAGAGACGACGCTTGTAATTAGTTGTTGCTTTTATTTAATTTGAAACTGAATACCCAAGAGTTGAGTGTGAGTGTCTGAGTACATTCATTTGCTTTTAGCTCTCGCCGGAATTCTAGCAAGAACTCGACTCGTGCTCATGTGTAAACTAATTTACTTTATTTCAGTTTTGTGCAAACAAATTCAAATTTGTTTAGCAGCTCCACTTGTTTGTTAAGAATGATAATAATTAAACGTATATACAATATGTGTATCTGTGTTTGCATCAAAAACAATATTCAAGGTTAATTTTGGCGAAATTGCGAGGTTAGCTTGAGCTTTAGAAATTTTCCATATAGAAACTTTCAAGTACACATTTACTTTTTAATGTGCAAATTTGTCGGAATTTAAATGATAAAAGAAACTATATTCTCACTCAATTAAGAGATTATTATCGAATCATGATTTATATGCCAAATATTGGGTTAATGAAAAACTTCACTTAACACAGCTTTGGCCTTAATTCTTAATAATAACAAAAATCTAATCTAATAAAATTTGGAGTAATTTTTGAAAAATGTATACTGATATATGTAATTTCATATTTTAATTATTGTTGTTATTATTAATAATATAATTATTTCAATTAGCTTAATATTATTTATAATATAATAAATTGTTTGCATATTGCCTTCTAGAAATGTCCTCAGACATTTCACCTGCTTTTCTTTGGTCAAAGTTTTCGCACTAAAAAATACCCGAGAGACTCTATCTAATCACTTTTCATACCCGTGATAACAGGGTATCGGCAAAGGCAATATAAGCACATACATGACATCACATACATGCACTGATGAACTCATTGTTTTCAAAGTGTTAACTGTCGAAATGTTATTGATTTGAAGAAATGAAACGGCCTAGCATCTGTTTAGAGAGTTATCGCATGACTCTCAGATATCGCACCTGGGCAATAAATATAACTGGCACATCAAAAACGTTGGGACGGAGGTGATAACCAATGCAAAATTGCGGAAACTGCCAAGTTGCAAGCGGCAAGTGGCAAGCGGCAACTGGCAAGTGGCAAGTGGCAGCTGCCTGGCTCCAGACGCGTCCAATTCGAGTGCTTTTCAGATAGCCAAGAGAGATCCGTTACAATTTCCTGAGCAAACGCAGACACGAACCGCCGTTTAACACGGCTGTCACAACAAAATGAAGCCAGGAGGCGGCCAGATAGATGCGACCACGATACGAATGGTCAGAGGTACGACCAGGGGCATGGCATGGCTAGGGGAATGGGAATGGAAATGGCCGATCCTAGACAGTTTAGCTGGTAATGAGTTGTCAATGACTTTATCGGCGCCTATGCATCGCATAGATATTGGCGCGGGCATAAAGTCGGATAGTTTATGAGCTATGATGATGGCTACGAACCGATTTAATGTGAATGCGCCGCGACACGGGCACATCGTAGTCCAGGTCCGCATTGGTCGCCGTGGAGCTGCAGCAGGAGCCGGACACTGAAATGGCGCTTTGTTTCTCCAGCATTTCGAATTGGTTGAGCTGAGGATTAACTGAAGTTGATCGTGGCTGCTTGGCTTAGCACATGATATATGTATTATTTTTTGTATGGAGCAATCGAGATACCCGAAATATATTTAATCCAGGACAATATAGATAAAGTATCTCGACTCACTTCACATGTCACTTCACTTGTATCTCTGTATCTTTCTCAGCACAATGCTCGCATCAGCATATGTTTTTAGCTTGATTTTATTTGATTTTATTTTGCTTTTTATGCTTTTTGTATTGGTTTTTGTTGTGACTTTGCTTTTTTGCGGAATCAGCTTAAAAATTCAAGTTTTGCGCGCGGGCCACAAAATTCGACAGACACCAGAAAAAAACCCCAATTCGTGTGGCTTTTTAACAAAAGATGCCCCAAACTGCAACAACAACAAAATGCCCGCAACAACGTTTTATATGGCCAATATTTTTGCCGAATTCAAGCGATTTTTATCGCACCACCTTCGTAAAGCCGCGACTTGATAGCGTTTCTAATCGCGCGAAAGAAAACTCTCAACAAATTGAATGCGACAATTATTTTCTTTTTGTCGCCTGTGCGTTCAGCGCTCAACACGTTCCGCACCGCAGCAAACCACAGAAGACACTGAACAGCGGGTCGCAGTCTGTTCAGCCGGTTGCCGTTTACCACCAACATTGTTGTTCAGATACCCTAACGTGGAGTGCTATGGTATTTATAAGTCGCTTTGCTCAGTCTGTAGAAAATCTTATTTATGTTTACAAATTATTATATTAATTGGTTCAATATCTATTTTTTATTTATAAATTATTTATAATTAGTTATATTTAATATTTATAATTTTTAATTTAGCTTCTTTTAATAGCTTCTTATCAATTATTGTATTACACATTTTTAATATTTATAACTTTTTCATTTTCTGGTTTAGAAATAATTTCCTAGATTGAAAGAAAACCATAATTTGAACATATATAAAATTTTTTAACATTCTCCATCTCCCAACGCTGCCTTAAGTCCTAAGTTATTCTCAGAGTTCAAGACCCCAGGCTAGCATATGCATCAAGTGATGCCTAAGGCTATGAATCTATAACTACATTCTATACTTATTGAATTGCAAATAATTATGAATATCTTTTATACAATCGTAACCCAACTATACAAGTTTTACAACACACAACATTAACAAGCAAGGGTATACAAGCGTCGCATATGTATCTGTCCATTAGCTGTGCACACTTACTCTCTTCAGCTCTCTCAAAACAACGTGACTTCGACAAGCATTCGGCTTTTAAGCATGTGTGTGTGCGTCTGCGTGAAAAGCCGAACGTATACGAAACCCACTCGGCTCTGCTCGTAAATTTAATACTATTTACACAAGCAAAGTGTATGGAAAAAGGTAGTAGCTGCTTTTGCTACCTTTTGAAGTGCGCATTTCGCATAGTTTAATACCCTTTGCACAATCGAAATGGGACAATTAAGTAGAATTTTGGTAAGCGATGCCAATAGAATTCTGTCACTTAATATACGATCGATTTAGGGGTAACTTCATATGTTCTATCAGTGGATGTCGTTTGAGGTTCAGTGCCCCGTCACATTCAACACTATTTATGCTGGATATCTCAAATACTTTCGGTTATATGAGAAATAAACCCATTAAATTTCACTCAGCTATCTATTGTAAGTAAATACTCTTAATATTTTCGTTATTTTTTGAGGCATATCGAATGCAGACAGTTTATGAGCTGTAGCCAAACATTTGATGGAGCACAGATGATACATGAAAGCTCATATTACCCAAAAAGTGAGGCATGGTCAGGGGGCGGGTTCGGCTACAGTAGCTGCAACCGCAGCTGTCCAAACAAATCGACTGAAACAATTCTACTCGAACTCGTGCCACAGGGGGGCGTGTTGAGTATTGTCGCCTGCACCAGGCGCTTCCCCAGGGACACGTATTCGGGCTGTGACTTTCTTTGAGTCTGTCTGCATGCGATTACGAAAGGGTATGCACGACCAGGTCTGTGCCGAAGGTCAACCCGTTCCGCAACAGAGGGAAGCTGTGCTGGCCCAAGCCTCCATTCAGAAGCACAAAAAACAGAACCAGAATCCGAAACAGACGGGAAAGGAGCGCAGAGCAGAGCTGAGGTGCGGTCGCAGCTGCAGTTGTGTAGTTGAAAGTGACATTTGACATGATTTGCATGCCAAGTGCCACGCCCACGTCAGTCAAACTGACAGCGAGACATTTACAGAGAACCAAAGAGTTGGCTTAGGATCGGGCGAGCAAGCAGTAAATGAGCCCGGGACCCGCCGTAGTGCTTGACACTCGTTGAGTTTTATTGTCGCTTTCAGTTTGGATTTGATTGAATCACATTTCTGATGTGATTTGAAGCACAAGAAGAAGACACGGCCTGGAAGCGTTTAACCCGGGCTGACTTTCTATCAATTAGTTTTATTAGCCAGCTCTGACGAGTTCTTATCGCAATCATTAAAAGTTAACACAATTTAACCAAGTCATTTCCGTTGCGTGGGTCGTAGACGGAATTTGATTTAGAAACGCATGGAAAACGGGTGAAAGGGATTTAAAGGTTATCTGCGATTGTATGACACATTCATATCCGATTTCAAATTGTATATATAAATTCTTGATCAAGTTTGTCTGTAGACATAGATAGATAGAGATAGATAGATCGTCTTTCTATTATAGGCTCTACATATTTTGGAAACGACCGAATTGGACAACTCATATATCATATAGCTCCTAGCGTCTAAAAACGCTTCCAAGCCATATACTGAAATTATGTGCAGCCTTTCTTTCTGATGCCTCAGTCTAATTGGACACAAATCAACTTTGTAGTTGGCTGCCTCTGTTGGCTGTGGTATGTGCATTATCCTGCCTTAAGGCCATTATCATTATGCCATTGTCCGTTTTGGCAACAATAACAGAGCATGTCCTGGATGCCCGTCTGCCTTTGTCGCTGTCACGCTCGGGCATTTATCTAGTATGTGTGCATAGTCTGGGGTTGGGTCCGTGTTCAGTTTTTCATGCCATTTGTTTTCATGCCGTGCCGCATTTCCATTTTCCATTTTCGAACAATTAAATGCCTGCCTAGGTTTTCATTTGTGGCAATACGCCCGCATTCCATGGAATTAGTCGTCAAATTGTATGTTAGAGAACTTGTTAAATAGGCAAGGGTCAGTCGTGGGGTTGGAAAACTGCCAGCTGACCACGACTGAAACTCTAATTACCTAGTCAGAGCTGAGTTCTGGAAGCTGAGCTGAGCTGAGCTGTTTGCCCAATAACATAGCAGAAACTGACTTAAAGCTGTCGGTCTTCCACCTACACCATATATGACTTTATTATTTGCCACAATTTGGGCATTTTAAATATGCAAATGAAACAGCTTCGTCTGCCCGTGTCGCATGCCCCCTCGCATGACACCTCATAACACGCTGGAATGCTGTTGTTTGCAATTTGGAAGCTGAATAAATAATATATGTTAATGCGACCACGCATCACGCATCATAAACATATCTCTCTCTCTCTCTCCAAAATATATAAACATCTTCTGGCCCAATGCTTGCACAATACACAATTTGTAGGCGTCGTATCTTTTATCTAAAACATTTTGTTGTTTATTCTCGTGCTCGCTATTTCTCTGGGGAATTATGGCACCTGCTTGTCGCAGGTATAAAATAGATTGCCAAACAAAATTTCAGCATTCTCCACCCCAAAAAAAAAAAAATGCCCATTTCTCAATATCGCAATCAGGGTTGGGCGGCGTCTGTAGCAAATATTTGTCGCCTCCTAATTGAGCCATTTGTTGTATGACCATCCGCCGAAGAATGACTTTTTATTGCACATTTGTGTCGCCAAACAACCCTCAGTTTTAATGGCACCCCACATATTCAAGTGGCACAGCCAGAATAGTCCAACTCTCCCTTGGGTGCCGTCTAACGATGTCTCTATTCATCTCGAACTTTATTTTGCCATTATTATGTCTAGATGTTATTTAATTTCGAATCAGCTTTCTTCCAGTTTCCTCCCTTCGACTGCCCCAAATCGCTTTCTAGCTCTTACGGCTTGGCCTATGTGTTGATCATCAATCAGTCAGTCAGTCAATCAGTCAGATCAAACACTTTTACGTATTTAAGCAAATCACAAGTTCTTTCTTTTTTGGGAATATTAATTGAAAGCCAGCCCTGTTCTTGATGGAGTTACCTAACCATCAATCAGCCAGACTCTCAATCAACACAAAACATCTGCATATAAAAATGTTTGTCGTGACTGACTGACTGAATGACTGACTGACGACTGTCTTATTGATTAACTGACTGACTGACTGATTGGTGATCAACGCACATTCCACACCTTAAGAACTAGGAAGCTGAAATTTGATTGAAGGCAAGCACTGTTCTTGACGAGGTTACTTGACCATCAATCAGTCAATCACTCACTTAGCACAAACAATATCACATGTATATAGTTAGAAAGCCAAGGGCTAGTTGTACCAGTTGACAGCACTGATATTAACTGTGATGCAGTATCATCAATCAAACAGTCAGTCAATCAAGCAATAAGCCGACGATTAAAAGCTAGTGCAGTTGCAGTTGACAACTTCCGCGTCTATGGGGTTGCAGGTCAATAAAACGTGTATTTCCTGTTCACTTGGTAATCTCTGGTGTTGCCTGAAACCAGACCAATTCAATGTAACTCCCTCGGGCTTAGAGAGCATTCGATTAAGGAGTGTCGCCCCGCTTGCAGCGCTCCACTCCTAATCAGCCATGGCTCGTCCCCGGCAACAGGCCATCAGTCGAGGTTGACTTTCATTAAGATGCACATCTTAATTGCGCCCACAGCTGCGCAATGCTGAAGACGATCCTTTCCAACTTTCCAACCCGAAATTGGGCACGTCTTCGGCGTCTATTGCTTTACAGTCACAAGTGGCAAAAGGGTGTAGCGGAGTGGCGGGGGGCCGAGGGATGGGGGAGGCAGTCCCCAGATAATTGATGAATTTATGGCACAACATGAAGTACTCATGCTTTTTGGACTATTTCCACATCACTTTTACTGATTGCAACTGCGGCTTATCACGCGCCGCTGAGCTGATGAAGTGCAGCCAGCCGTTTGCCGGTTTCTCTAATTGAACTGGCACGGGTCTCCCTCTCCCTCTCTCTCTCTCTCTCCCACTCCTTTTCCCTATCGGAGAAGCGTTCTCCTCAAAACAAAACGCCACTTGCCGCTGGGCCTAATAGATTCTTGGAACTACAAAATGCATTTTCGGGCTGCTCGCCTCATTTCCAATCTGTGTTCAGTGCGCTTTGTTGCCGACATTCGACTCTTGATGTTTGGTTAGCTACTTGGTTTGGAGATTGGATGCTTCCATTGTTGATGATGTTGTTATTGTTGTTGCTTTGATTTTGCATTGTTTTCGTATGCGGCACGTTCTGCACATTTATGGAGCACGCATTACCAGCAACCCAAGCCCCAAAAGAATTCACCAGCCGAGTGCCGAAAGATATGGAAACGGAATTCACTGAAACAGCAGCAGAAGCATTTTCAGAGATTGGGCTGATTTAGCCCAGATACTTGTACATATATA